GTTTATCTGTAAACAAAATTAGGGTACTTCAGCTGTAGGTCATTCAGGCACCTGGTGAAGGCTCAAAAATGAAAGAACACTTTATTTCAGATAGGAGTGACATTCATTAAAACTGTATTAGGGTTTAATCAAACTCTTATTATGAGAATCTTTGTAGAGGCCTAGGTTTTAGATTAAGTTGAAATGGACACTTGTAATTAAATTCATATATATAATATATAATAAGACATATTCCCACTCTGCCATTTTATAGATAAAGTTTCACAGTTGTTTATTGGCAGAACTAGGTGTTCTGGCTTTTAATTCATTTCTTTTACAATTCCACATATCATCTCCATGTTATGATCTGTCATTTTTAGTATAGGTTTTGATGCTTTTCAGTATAGTGTCTCATGGTTAGATTCTGCTTTCAAAATAGGGTTTGTTAAACAAAAATTAAGTAATAAAGGAAAGAAAAAAAACACTGTGGAAATATATTTGTGTTTTCTAATCAGTACATACATTTTCTAATAGAAGGTATATCTATTAACCAGTTTTGTCTGGTGATGTATAGTCCTCATAATTAACCATTAAGTGAACGATTGGAAAATTGAGATTGTATGCATCCTAAAAAGCTAGAAAGTACCTGTTTTTAGTGTCTAAAAAGCTGTTTCATTCAGAATGATCTGGACTTGTTAATATCTATGTGATTTATGACATTGCTAGAAAGTGAAATTCATAGGTTCCACTTACCTAATAATACAGTTAAGAATGAACTTGAAGATTTATGAACAGTAAGTTGCTACTATTAGAGGTTCATTTGACTCTTCGAAAATTGGCTATTCAATTGGTCCCTTATAGCAAATAATTTTGAAGAGCTGGTATTTAGAATTTAGGTTACTTGGCCCAACCAATGTAAAGCCCAACTAGATATGTTAACTGAGATGTCTCACAAGTTCTGGGGTACCATCATCCCCATCAAATTGCTTAGTAGCTTTATCATGCCGTTTCCCGCCCCCCACCCCCCCTCCATGTTAGGGACAGCTGTTGAGGTTTTGAGTCTGCTCATTGCTATTTATGTGTTTGATTCATTCCCTCCCCAAATCCCATTCAAGGTAGAGTAAAGTAGAGAAATGAGGTGCTTTTGCCCATCCATCTTATGAGAGTGTTCAAATGTAAGGAATGCAGTTGACCTTGAACAATGAATGCAGGGCTTAGGTACTGACTCCACACATAGTTGAAATTATGTATATAACTTTTGACTCCCAAAATTTACTAATAGCTTACATCAACCAGAAGAAGCTTACCAATAGATAACACAGTTGATTAACACATCTTATATGTTACATGTATTATAAACTGTATTCTTACAATAAAGTTAGCTAGAGAAAAGAAAGTGTTTATATAGAAAATCATAAGGAAAACAAAATAGTCTTCATCTTCTTTGTCTCACATTGAGTGAAGTAGGTCCACTTACATTGGCATATAAGTGGCATAATCGTAATATAAGTGGACCTTCGGTTCAAACCTATGTCAGGTCAACTATATTAATTATCATCTGTGAAAAAGATATTTATGTCTATAATATTTAAGAGAATACCATATAGTATGTTTGATATATTTAACAGAATTATTAATTGGTTTGTTACATAGAGGCTTATTGTATTATTGAATTTTTTCCTTTTAGGAATCTATTCGATGGTTAGAAGATGAAAAGGCTCTCCCTAGAGATGACTGAAGAAGTAGACTAATGATGTAGATCATATCATGCTACACAACTTGAAGCTATTCTTGAGCAAAAAATGACATTTAACTGAGCTGCGGGGAATTTTTTTCATCTTAGTGTTTGAAATCTGGTGGTATTGGTATCTATGTTAGGGAGGATTTTGTATTACAAGAACATCTGAAGTGAAATTATGGCACCATTAGCACTATCTTCCAGGTATAAAGACCAACCTTCAGTTTTTTTTTTTTTTTGAGACAGAGTCACGCTTTTGTGCCAGGCTAGAGTGAGTGCCGTGCGTCAGTCAGCTCACAGCAACCTCAGAACTCCTGGGCTCAAGCAATCCTGCGCCTCACCCTCCATTGAGCTGGGACAAGCATGCACCACCGATGCCCGCTATTTTTTCTCCTATATATTAGTTGGCCAATTAATTTCTTTCTATTTATAGTAGAGACAGGTCTTGCTAAAATGAAATACATGCCCATTGTATAAGGAGAGAAGGTGTAAAGAAATATAAAAGCACAAATAATACATATACTTTCATATAATTGCTTTTAATATATTGAGGGGGTGCTTTTCTGTGAGATGTAAAAGTTATTTAACTTTATTTTTAAAATGTATATTCTGTATAGTTTTATATAATTCTGTACCTGCTAAAAATCCTGTGGTGACATTTTTTTCTTAATTTTTAAATTTTTTATAGTAGTCCAATTTCTTGGACTACTTGGATTTCTTGGTAGACATTTTCTTATAATATTGAAAGGTAGCATTGATTAGTTGCTTACCACATGACATACATTTGGTAAGCATTTTACTTATCATCTATTCCAACAACTCAGTGTGCTAGATAATATAATTGTCCCTACTTTTATAATTTATAGTCTAAGAAGTTTAAGTAACTTGACTAAGATTATACAAATAAAAGTGCTTAAGCCAGGAATGGAGCCTAGATCTTTGTTATTCCAGAGCCAAATTTTATATTAATTAAACTTATTGCTACTACAATATAATATTCTATGAAAACACTATAACTTTAGTTGTTATGTTGTAATACTTTCTAGTGGATATTAAGGCCAAAATATTCTAGAGTAACAAATAGATATACTACTTTTCTTTTCCATATCCCTCTGTATTACTAAAACGGGGCTTAAAGCAGCAATTCTTAACCAGGGGTGATTTGTCGCCCCCCCATCCCCCACCTGTGGCAAAATGTGTGTAGACAGTTTTGGTTGTCACAACTAAGATGATGCGGCATGATGTAGTGGGTAGAGGCCAAGAATGCTTTTAAATATCATAAAGTGTAGAGGACAGCACCTTTACCTCATCCCTGCAAAATGTCAGTAGTTCCAAAATTGAGAAAATCTAGTTCAAAGTAAAAGTTCTAAACTTTGAAACATAGACGATAAAGAATTAAAAATGAGATCTTGGCTTCAATCCATCACCTGTCTCTATAAGTTTTGAAAGAGTCTGTAGTTGCTGTTAGAATCTTTAAAGCAAACCCTGTATTGCACCTAGATATGGTACATCCCAAAGATACGAAAACCAGCACAAGACAGGCACTGCCTATAGCAAATCTTTCGTTTTATTTTTGCATCTTTTGGGCCTCTGCAGGGCCTTAATTTGGAGAGGTTAGCTAGGTGACTAGAGCTAATCCAGCGTTTTTGTAAGTATGGCATCATGAGTTCTTATAGCCTTCATGTTTGAGAGAGTGTGCATTTCTATTATCTTTACTACCCCGGGGAATTATCTTGAGGTGGTTCAGCATTAGCCTTTAGTTAGTAATGGTACATGTATATATATTCTTATTAAGTGTTAACAAATAGATTAAAATGAAATAGTATCTAAGATAGGCTCTAGAGTGCAAACTAATGCAGGCAGATAAATTAGAATAATCAAATGCATTAGAATTGCAGAAATAGAAGATATTTTTATAGACAAAAGTATTCATAGTAGACTTTATGGAAATAATAGGAACTTGCCTTAGTATCTTGAAGCAAAGAAAAGAGAATATTCAGGGCTTGAAGGGTAGGTGGCTAGAAAAAAATGAATAAAGGTGTATTGTATGTGTGTGTTCATCAGAGAGAGTAAAAGAGAGAGAGAGAATATAGAAAATGCCAGCATGTCCTGATGAAAAGCAGATGCCTATTTTCCCAAAGAGAAAAGTTCTTTGGCTAACTTGACTCTATAACGTTTAGGGACCATATCTTATTGATGAGAGTCAAATGTCTGCTTATAATTTATTTAACCAAAATATGTATATATATTTGGAATCATGTATTTTATTTGAAAAATGATGCTTTTTCTACTCACATTTTATAAAAGTCATAAGTAAATTTTTTATTGTTGCCTTTATCACTAAAACCACATATTAAGAAAATAAATTATTAGATACTAGAGGAAGGAAGCTCAAAAAAGGAAGTTAAGCTTCGGTAGTTTTGACTTGATGTAAGACCAAAATATGAATATGTTGTATATACAGTCAGTTTTCCCTTGGTATATGCAGGAGATTGGTTCCAGGATGGCCTGCATAGACCCAAATTAGGGCACACTCAAATTCCTTAGTTGACCCTGCAGAACCTGCATATACGAAAAGTCAGCCCTCTGTGTGACTTGGGTTTTGTATCCCACAAATACAGTATTTTCAATCCATGTTTGGTTTAACAAGTTGCATAACTGGACTTGCATAGTCCAAATCTGTGCTGTTCAAGGGGCAACTATATATGTGATTTTTATGTTGATGAATTAAAATTTTGGATTGTCAATTGAAATTTCCATTAAAAATTGGTAAGCAAATTACACAGTATAATTAGGAAATTAAGATTTAGTAAGAGTTCGGTCCTTCAGAACACTAATTTGATAGTCACAGTAATAAAAGACATTATCTTTACATCACTTAAAGACGTTATCTTTATATCTCTTTTAAGAAAAGAAACATGTATATATATATGAATTAAATTGTTAGTGAAAAGTAGACAGTACTGAGGAAATATTTCAGTATGTTTACAGCTTGCAATAAATGTAGTTTGGAAAAGTTGCACTATTCCAAAAGAGATTGTTTTTTTATAGTAGTTCTGCAATACTCAAAAATTAAATTTGGGTTGTCTTATTGGGAGGTACATTAAATATTTTGACCCATAGAAATTATGGGTTTGCCTTTTGCATATATTTTAGTGGTCTTTACCATTCAAGTTTCCTCAAATTCTAAATGACATTTTTGTAAATGATATTGATAAATTACTTTGATAACATTTAAAATAAAAACTTTACATAATAATTTTTAAACTATTTTTATTTTAAGGAAGAAGAAGTTTCTCCACAGTTGTTTACTTTCCATGAAGCTGTCTCACAAATGGTAGAAATGGAAGAACAAGTTGTAGAAGATCACAGGGCAGTATTCCAGGTAAAGTAAGAAAGGACCTTTCATCAAAATATTTCTTGTGATAAATTAACAACTTTCATAATTCTTTAAATATACTAACTTTTAAAAAACTACTTGTTTATATATGTGTATTTGTAGGGCATACGATATGGCAGTCTTTTAATATAATGAATGATGGCTATGAACATTTCTTTGCACCGTAGTGAGGAGTTCTACTTTATTTATCACCCTTTCCCCCCTTTACTTATCACCCTTTTCCCCATTTATTTGTTTTTCTCAGCTATTTCCTTTTTTTAGAAAGAGTTGAACTACCCACTACCAGTCCTTTCCTCATGTTAGGCCAATTTATTTGACAGCAATAAGGAAAACTCTTCTAAAGGGTTTTGGAGCAGTTAAGGAAGTGTCAGTCTTTGTAGAAAAGGTAGACTACTGCAGTAGATGAAGAGTTACTGCTGTCACTGTGCTGTCAGTGGCAGGCTGAGTGAAGGGTGTTTTGTCCCTGCCTGTAGCATAACTCCTTAGGTGTTCATCCCATTATGTGTTCATATGTGTTCAGTCTATTAAAAGCTCTTTTACTGTATGATACCTCCTCCACACCCTACTTTTTTTAAAAACAAAGAAATATTCTGGATACTGATATTTATGGAAGTGAAGATATCATTTGGACATCTTTATGAAGACTGTACAGCTTGCCTTTGTTACTTACCCCCTTCCTTGTAATACTATGAATACTTCCTGAGAAAAAGTGAACAATAATCCAGTCTCCCTCATTGACCTATATTCCTCCTTCTAAAGGATTCTTTGTTTATCTGTAAACAAAATTAGGGTACTTCAGCTGTAGGTCATTCAGGCACCTGGATGAAGGGCTCAAAAATGAAAGAACACTTTATTTCAGATTAGGATGTACATTCATTAAAACTGTATTAGGGTTTTAATCAAACTCTTATTATGAGAATCTTTGTAGAGGCCTAGGTATTTAGATTAAGTTGAGAATGGACACTTGTAATTAAATTCATATATATATATATATATAAAGACAATTATTTCCCACTCTGCCATTTTATAGATAAAGTTTCACAGTTGTTTATTGGCAGAACTAGGTGTTCTGGCTTTTAATTCAATTTCTTTTTACAATTCCACATATCATTCCTCCATGTTATGATCTGTCATTTTTTAGTATAGGGTTTTGATGCTTTTCAGTATAGTGTCTCATGGTTAGGATTTGCTGCTTTCAAAATAGGGTTTTGTTAAACAAAAATTAAGTGAATAAAGGAAAGAAAAAAAACACTGTGGAAATATATTTGTGTTTTCTAATCAGTACATACATATTTTCTAATAGATAGGTATATCTATTAACCAGTTTTGTCTGGTGATGTATAGTCTCATAATTAACCATTAAAGTGAACGATTGGAAAATTGAGATTGTATGCATCCTAAAAAGCTAGAAAGTACCTGTTTTTAGTGTCTAAAAAGCTGTTTCATTCAGAATGATCTGGACTTGTTAATATCTATGTGATTTATGACATTGCTAGAAAGTGAAATTCATAGGTTCCACTTACCTAATAAAATCAGTTAAGAATGAACTTGAAGCATTTATGAACAGTAAGTTGCTACTATTAGAGGTTCATTTGACTCTTTGAAAATTGGCTATTCAATTGGTCCCTTATAGTCACAATAATTTTGAAGAGCTGGTATTTAGAATTTAGGGTTACCTTGGCCCAACCAATGTAAAGCCCCAACTAGATATGTTAACTGCAGATGTCTCACAAGTTCTGGGGTACCATATCCCCCATCAAATTGCTTAGTAGCTTTATCATGCCTGTTTCCCGCCCCCCACCCCCCCTCCATGTTAGGGACAGCTGTTGAGGTTTTGAGTCTGCTCATTGCTATTTATGTGTTTGATTCATTCCCTCCCCAAAATCCCCATTCAAGGTAGAGTAAAAGTAGAGAAATGAGGTGCTTTTGCCCATCCCATCTTATGAGATTGTGTTCAAATGTAAGGAAATGCAGTTGACCCTTGAACAATGAATGCAGGGCTTAGGGGTACTGACTCCACACATAGTTGAAATTATGTATATAACTTTTGACTCCCCCAAAATTTTACTAATAGCTTACTATCAACCAGAAGAAGCCTTACCTATAGATAACACAGTTGATTAACACATACTTTATATGTTACATGTATTATATACTGTATTCTTACAATAAAGTTAGCTAGAGAAAAGAAAGTGTTATTAAGAAAATCATAAGGAAAACAAAATAGTCTTCATCTTCTTTGTCTTCACATTGAGTGAAGTAGGTCCACTTACATTGGCATATAAGTGGCATATATGCTAATATAAGTGGACCTTTCGGTTCAAACCTATGTTCAGGGGTCAACTATATTAATTTTATCATCTGTGAATAAAGATATTTTATGTCTATTAATATTTTAGAGAATACCATATTAAGTATGTTTGATTATATTTAACAGAATTTATAAATTGGTTTGTTTTACATAGAGGCTTATTGTATTATTGAATTTTTGTCCTTTTAGGAATCTATTCGATGGTTAGAAGATGAAAAGGCTCTCCTAGAGATGACTGAAGAAGTAGACTATGATGTAGATTCATATGCTACACAACTTGAAGCTATTCTTGAGCAAAAAATAGACATTTTAACTGAGCTGCGGGGTAATTCTTTTTTCATCTTAGTGTTTGAAATCTGGTTGGTATTGGTATCTATGTTAGTGGGAGGATTTTGTATTACAAGAGGACATCTGAAGTGAAAATTATGGGCACCATTTAGCACTATCTTTCCAGAGGTATAAAGACCAACCATTCAGTTTTTTTTTTTTTTGAGACAGAGTCACGCTTTGTTGCCCAGGCTAGAGTGAGTGCCGTGGCGTCAGTCTAGCTCACAGCAACCTCAAACTCCTGGGCTCAAGCAATCCTGCTGCCTCAGCCTCCCATGTAGCTGGGACTACAGGCATGCACCACCATGCCCGGCTCATTTTTTCTCTATATATTAGTTGGCCAATTAATTTCTTTCTATTTATAGTAGAGACAGGGTCTTGATCTTGCTCAGGCTGGTTTCGAACTCCTGACCTCAAGCAATCCACCCACCTCGGCCTCCCAGAGTGCTGGGATTACAGGCGTGAGCCACCGCGCCCGGCCTAACCATTCAGTTTTTCTAGAAAACATGGAGTATCATTTCAGATTCTCCCTAGTCATCTTTTTTTCAGTCTTTTAAGAAAATAAAGACATCTTACAATTAAAGAGAAAAATGTATTATAACAAATTTGTAAATCTTATATACCCATTCAGATCTTTAATTTGGTAGGCCAATGCTTATTAGAATTTTCTTAGATTAAGTCTATTCAGGATCATCTTTCAGTAGCCTCGTGTCTGCTGCTGCTTTCTGCACCATCTTGTGTGATGTTTTTCTTTTACACTTTGTTTTTTTAAAAATGAAGGGAAAAGTGTCAAGATGACTACCCTCTCTACCTTACTCATAAACAGAAGCATGTGACTTACCTATACACCATGTCTTTTTGGCTTTTTAAATTAGCTCATCTGTGTAGCTTCAGATATGCTTGCTTCTGTGTGCTAAAATTTTAGGCATTGACAAATTATTGGCTCTGTTTATGTGTGAGTGGGTGGCTGTATGTGTGTGTACATGCAATGCAATGTAAACCAGATTGAAATTCCTAGTTGGGGGCAGCAAATAAGCTGTTTAATTTTTTAAAGCAGGCCACTTCATGAAGTTGGTCATTTGTTTTGGTTTTTTCCCCCCACAACTTTTTTATTTACCTTGACAGATAAAATTGTATTTGTCACGTACAATATGATGTTTTGAAGTATATGCAGGTTGAATATCTCTAATCTGAAATGGTTAGAATCAGAAGTGTTTTGGATGTTTTCAGATTTTGGAATATTTGCATTACACTTTCTGGTTACACATTCCAAATCCAGAAATCTGAAATGCTCCAATGGACATTTCCTTTGAGCATTATGTTGGCGCTCAAAGTTTTAAAGTTTGGATTTGGAATATTCAACCTACATACATCGTGGAATGGTTGTGAAGTTGGTTGTTTGAAATCACATTCTGTGACTATTTGCCTAAAATTTACATTTGTTTTTAATGTACATATTCAAGCCTTGATTTAAATTGTCTTGATCATTTTTTAATCTGTAATAACTCACAATCAGCTTTTCTATGTGCATTTTATTCAGAAGACAGATCATAATGCACTCTAATTTTTTTCTTAGTAATATATAGCATTCAACTTAATTGACTTTCCTTAATTTTCTCAGAATTTATGTATAGTAAGCATATCCATTAACTTTGAAGAAATTATCTATATACTGCATTATTCAGTCTTCTTAGAAATTAAAGTTTTTTCTTACCATCCAAAGATAATTTTGGATTACTAAGAGAGGTTTGAGAGCTATTATATTAGCAGACACTAGCTCCAGAAGTCTTTACATTTCTTTCTAAATTTGAGAAAGTTAATTTTTTAAACATCATTATACTTCTGAAAAGGGGAAGGAAATTGAGACTTTTCTTCTGAAGGTTATAGAGTAAGGTTTTATTAACATTTTGGGCCAGGTAATTTTTTGTTGAGGTGTGCTGTACTGTGCATTGTGCAATGTTTACCAGTATCCTTGGTTTGCATCCACTAGATGACAGTAGCATCACACCAGTTGTGACAACCAAAAATGTTCACTGGGGGGTGAAAGTCACTTCAGGTGGAAACCACTATTAAAGAAAGATGTCTCATCTTCAGACAGCTGCCTGTAATTTTGCTTCTGACAAATTACTAACCTATTTCTAGTTCTTATATGACTATAGATCAGTACATTATAGAGAGTAGGACAGAATGTGTAAGAGCAAGAAATGTATTGTTTTGTCATTCTCGTATAACAATGCCCCCTCACCATGAGGAAAAAAGTCATTCCTTTTTAAAAATTCAAATATCTTTTAAAATTCCATAGCTTTTTAAGCTATAGGTAAAATAGGAATGGGGAGTAGAAATCTCCTACTATTAAGAGAAGAAATTTCAATTTAACAGTTTAGTAAGACAGTTTTCCTTTTTGACATGACTATACATATTTTACACATATAAAACCTGCCTATAGTCCAAAAGGAATTCAAATAAATTAAAATTAAAAACTGTAAATGTGCCAAACAGAACAGAAGCCCATTGATAGATACAGAAACATAGGTATTTTGGGGATCTGTAACAATTATTTAGTTCTGAGTTTCTACCTGACAAAGAACAAAAGGAAAAACACTGAGTTACTGCTAAGAAATAACATAGCTGACTTGATAGGACCCATAAAGTTGTAAACTGTATCACATGTAATACAATATTTATTACCTTGTTCTTTTCTTTTTCCAAGATAAAGTAAAATCTTTTCGTGCCGCTCTACAAGAAGAAGAACAAGCCAGCAAGCAAATCAATCCGAAGAGACCCCGTGCCCTTTAAATTGGCATTTGCTGCTAAAGGATCCCCAGAACCCTCACTATTGTAACATACAATGGTTCAGCTGTAAGGGCCATTTGAAAGTTTGAAATTAAGTGTCTGTGGAAAATGTCTTGTCCTTCACCTGAATGACATTTCAATTTTGTGAAACACTCCTTTGTCTATAAAATGCTTCTAACCCAGAAGGCACAACCAAGAATTGGGATTAGTGAAGCATTTTGTTTCATTTACCCAAACAGTGATTTACTTTTGGAGATCCTTGCCAATTTTATTTTCTATGTGATGAAGATTGCGGACTTGATCCAGAGGTGGATGGTAGAGGGAAGCCACAGCATTTCCTTTTAACTGGGTTCAATTTTCGTAGCGAGACTGAGCAGTTTTAAATCCTTTGCGTGCATGCATACCTCATCAGTGATTGTACATACCTTGCCCACTCCTAGAGACAGCTGTGCTCACCTCTTCCTGCTTTGTGCCTTGACTAAGGCTATTAACCCTAAAATTCTGAAGCACAGCCAAGATAAATTACATTCCTTATTTGTCATTGTAAATTACCTTTGTGTGTACATTTTTACTGTATTTGAAACATTTTTTGTGTGTGACTAGTTAATTTTGCAGGATGTGCCATATCATCGAACGGAACTAAAGTCTGTGACAGTGGACATAGCTGCTGGACCATTCCATCTTATATGTAAAGAAATCTGGAATTATGATTTTAAAACCATATAACATGTGATTATAATTTTCTTAGCATTTTCTTTGTAAAGAACTAAAATATAAACTAGTTGGTGTATAATAAAAGTAATGAAATTCTGAGAAGAGTTTTATCTTAGGAAAATACATATATATGCAGTGTGTGTGCCAGTGTGGTATTAACAAGACTAATAGTGCAATTTGATCCTTACCGATACATTTCTTAATTTCAAGTGTTCATTAGCACCCCGAAATATACCTTTTCTATGTACTGTTAAAGGAAATTGGCTTCTGATGCATGAACATTATATGTACACTGAGAGTAGTCCATAATAGAAGTTAGTTTAAGCCAAGTGTAGACAGTACATAACTCCCTTGAAAAAGAATTAAGCTTAAAGAGTTGACTCTGCCTTAAAAGGCAAATCGAACCCAAGCTCCATCCGGTACCAAATGTGAAATTTCACCATTATTTGGTGAGAATCACCAAATTCTCACCAATAGATTGGTGTAGGGTATGCTACTTTTAAAATAGCAGCACTTATTTTTACAGATTGCTACTCCAAGAGAGAAAACTGGCCACTTTTCATGTAAATATTTTGTTGAAAGATTTATATATCTCTCTAGGAGTTTTCCCTCAGTTCCCAGGATAAGAGTCCAGGAGTAGATTACCTACCAAAAAATCTCCCAAGGATATCTTGTTTTGATTTACTCTAAGGAACTAGCTCATTCATATGGGCCAAAGGGAAGCTATGAATAGAGAGTCACATGAGCCAGATTCTTTACTTCATTGTTCATAAAACCCAGAGGGTAGTTGTGAAAGATGCTAACACCATGGTGAAAAGCTCTGTAAACAGATGGTGAAATCTGAAACAAATGTAGATTTTCACAGTATACTTATTAATAAACCTATGGAATGAGTTTTAGAGATAATTTACTTCAATACAATCACCTTTGTTTTGGAAGGGACTCAGGTTTTCTTGCAGTTGTAAATGTATTCTATTTGTGTTTATTTCAAAGGGAAGAGGAAGAATGGAGAACTGTTATTACTGGCCTTGCAGAGGCTGTTTGAAAACATAGTTTTTGAGAATAACCTTCAAAGGGCAATAAAGACATGAACTTGCTCATTTTAAAGCACAACAGATTAGCTTTAATTTATTTTTGCTTTGGATGGGTACTGTCTTCAGAAGGTCTCCTTATAGACAAATATGCTGTCTGATACTATGATGGCTCCATTCAGATTAGGAGTCAAGGTATTTTAAAAAGTTAATACCAAAAAGATCTTGGAGGTAGTATAATTCAGTCCTTCAGCTTTACAGATAGGGAAAACTGAAGGCCAGAACAGGGATTAAAAATTCAGCAGTTCATAGGCATAGAGGGAAATGACCTAAGAAAGCTGAGTTAAATCTTAAAATTTTTCTGTAAGGATAGAGATGGTACAAGTGAACTTTGCAAAGTAGTTTTTGAAGCTAAAAAAAAAATCTACCCTTAAGTATAATTAATATTCATATAACAAAAGTGGATTGATGGAGCTAAGTAACTTTAATATTTTGTTCTGGATTAAGCATTCTATAGTACTTTCTTAGACTTGAAAGCTGATATCCCCATTAATAAGTAATTAAGAACATGCATTATTTTAACTATGTAGTAACATTACTATATGACTTTGAAGCCAGATTTCAAAATCTGGCTTTGCTAAATTAAGTAAAAATACTCCTATTAAGTTAGGTATAAAGAAAGCCAAATATCAATAAAGATATTTTTGTTAGTTTTCTTATATTAATAAAATAGCTACTATACTTCTTTATTAAAGTATATGAACATCACTGAGTATTATACTGATTAAACATAGTAGCTAATAAAATTGAAATTCTCAATCTGACAGTTATTAAAATAGCTTAAAACTAAGCACCAGGTATATGAAAAAATACTGGAAATTTTAATTATCCATAGTCATGAATACTGGTAATGTATAGTTGTGGAGAAATGGCTGTTTTTTTGAAGTTGAAAACAGATTTTTAACTATAAAACCTGTTTTGCTTTAAAAAGCCCTTTGAAATTTTGCTAAACCTATACTTTTCTCCCTAAGAAAAACCATAATTTTATAGTTAATTTCATTCTAGTTGAGCTTCCTCATTTTACAAGTAAGGAGTCATGCCCAGAATATGCCCAGCACAGCATAGTGGCAACAGCAGACTCAGGGTTACCCAGAACCCTGATGTAGTCTATGATGCTACAGAATAGCTAAAAAGGCATTAAGAGGAGACCTTGTATAGGATAAATATGGAAAAGAATGAGAGAAATAAAATAAAAACACTTTAAGAGACAATTGTTTTACTGTACATGTGAGTAACAAATGGTATGGGAAATATGTGACTAGAGAAGCATATTTTAACTTTTTTACTACTTGAGGGACAGAGCTAAAGGCCTAAGGAGGGCCTCACGTATATAACACAGTAAATAGAAAAGTAACATCTTTATATGATGAACTGTTAGAAATGATAAATTTAAGTATAAAGTTGTGCGTATCTGCGGCTCTTGAACTTGAAGATTATGATGAATAGATTGGACCCTACCCTATGTTATATATTATAAAAACAAATCCAAACCCAAAAAACTTAGGCCCTTAGAACTGACCACCTTAAAAATTTAGAATAATTGGTGACAACAGTAGTTTTAAGCCAAAAATAGTCAAGCAAATAAATAACGTCCCAGTAGAGCAAAAGCAAAGTTCATCTTCTCAAATGATGAAAATATATAATTCATTTCTTTTCTTGACCTTGAAAATTCTGTTTTCCAAATACCTAGGAAAAATGAATACCTTCTGCATTAAATCCATGTAGCAATCTGAAAAAAAGAAACCAGAATGGAATGGTATTGAAAAGCTAGTATGTGGCACATAATGGTGTATAATTCTATATCATTAATTCTAAAACATGAACATGTCAGCATACTCGTGCAGCCCACCCACTTCTCACACTAGTCATTAAAGAAACCTTACTGTCCAACTAAATGTATAAGATATATATTGGTTAAAACCATGTCATGTTGGTGCCTCTTTCACTGTAGCCTGTATGTCTTAAGTTATAATGAATTTGACTAAAATTATCTTAGACTTCCACTATCCCCGGTCTAAGAGCTCACTGGCATTTGTTTCATTTCAACATGGTAAAGGAACAAGAGCTATTTGGAATTAGAGGTAGAAGTCAGATAAATGACCAATCTTACATGCTCATTCTTCCTTTCTGAGCTGTTTTGTGGTTCAAATACTTACACCTGTTTCTCTCTGGGGAATACCTATGTTTTTATTAGCTTCTAGTTAGCAAACTACACATGCTCAATAATCTTGAGGAAATTCAGTGAGAACGGAGGAAGATAAAATATTTCTATTTCGACCTGAGATTGTTTTAGGCTAGCTCATAGGAACAGGTCCAGGTGAATTAAAGCAAAGTAGGTACCTAGGAACAGTGTTCAACACCTAGGACTAATATCTAATAAAGACTCAGTAGTAATGATGGCATTTGTCTTAGTAATAGAGAACTCTATTTCCAGCTTAGAAAAAGTAAAACCAATGACTTTTGTAACAGTCTACCCTCATTCAGTCTCTAGAACATAGAAGTTTTAAAAGTGAATTGGCTAAATAGGCAAGAACTTCTGAAAGTTAACGTGCTAATTAAAAGCAAAGAGTATAGGTTAATAATTACCTGAGTAATTAATTGAAGTCTTACTCTGCTTTCATAAAACGTACTTGCTTTACTTAAAGGAAAACAGATTTTGGTCTAAATTGCCAAGATAATTATGATATCTTTTAACCCAAGATATGTAGAACCTGCTTCAGACTACAAAACAACTAACTATATTACTAAATGGATAACCAGGTATGACTGTAACTGACATTATTTCATACTTAAGATCTATATAACAATAGCTATTCCTAAGAGGAAATAAAAAAAAAGATCCAGTTACACATACTTTGATTTTTTTCTACCTTATGGGCTACTTTGGAAGGACAAGCTATTAAGACTAAGACCGTGAATGAGAGTTGGGGGAGGGAGCAGGAACACCAAAACACACGTTGCAACCTGGCTCAGACTGTTCTTTACTACTATTAAAAGAAAATGGTCATTCTGCTGCAGCTAACTAGCCTCCATCTTCTACACCAAATACTATTCCATACCATGGAAGTGCTATGCAATAACTCTCCAGGTAGCACCTTATACCGCTTAAAAGCCTTTAAATCTCTAATCTGAAGGTGTCACAGTAAAGAAATGTAAACACTTAGGACAACAAAAATGTAATTACCTGATGAAGTCATCTATGTCCATGGAACGGGCCCGTTTGTCACTAAAACCTGTGCTGGTTAGGATTTGCTGTATTTTATCTGCTATGCTGAAATCTTCTGGTACTATCTATCAATATAAGATTCAGAATAAATGAACAACGTATCTTTAATGAATCACCTTGACTCTTTTTTTTTTTCAGTTCAGTAAGTCATAAAATAGTCACTTTTAACATATATCTGTTACAATAGTTTGGAAAACCTGATTGTGTAAGACTTGGATCTCGAATTAAGTGGTTGACCTTTACCACATAACAAATACTCAGCATAACCTGAATCAGTAAATGCCAATGTATATTGGCATTTTTCTTTAAAATTCTGAAATAGTTATCAGTTTCAAACTTCATAAAATAATTAGAACTGTAAACTAAATTTTAAAGCAGTTGTTAATCCTTTCAAAATAACATTTTTTTGCCACAGAATTCACCTAACCAGCTAATTTTTCTCAAAGAGATGACCTCCACAACCTTGAGAATATTAAGTATTTCATACTTAATTTCCATCTTTTATCCAAAGATTTTTCTTAATATAGCTTAATTTTTTTACTTACATTATATACTGACTTTTTGCCCATAAAAGAAAATGGAAATAGTATTGTGATACATTAAAATCACAGAATCAAGCCGGGCGTAGTGGCTCACGCCTGTAATCCTAGCACTTTGGGAGGCCGAGGCAGGCGGATTGCTCAAGGTCAGGAGTTCGAAACCAGCCTGAGCAAGACCCCATCTCTACCAAAAATAGAAATAAATTAATTGACCGACTAAAAATATATATACACAAAAAATTAGCCGGGCATGGTGGCGCATGCCTGTAGTCCCAGCTACTCGGGAGGCTGAGGCAGTAGGATCGCTGAGCCCCGGAGACTGAGGTTGCTGTGAGCCAGGCTAACGCCACGGCACTCACTCTAGCCTGGGCAACAAAGTGAGACTCTGTCTCAAAAACAAAAAAAAAAAAATCACAGAATCATAAAAAGTACAAAAGAAATTAGCCTTTGCTACTTTCATTAAACTGAAAACTAAAAAGTTAGCAAACATCACATACTCCTTATATATATGGATATGGATATATGCATGTGTGCACATACTTGTTTAAAGAAAGTGTTGCACAGATGCTAAGTGGCATGAGGCTCACAATAAAAAATCTATTCAGCTTCTACTTTATTCTAATTATTTTGAGTGTTAAAAGTTATAAAGAAAATAATAACTTTAAATTTATAATTGCTTTGTGAGCAATAAGGGATGGTCACAATTCAGAGGACAGTAAATTGTACAAAATTTAAGCTGAGCAAGCTGTGAATCTACAACTTTGAGGAAAATCTAACCACTGAATCTGATTCTTGTTACGGCTAAAAACAACTATCAGTAATTAAAGAGGAGAGGGTAGGGTAACCAAGCTTGCTCAGATCTGTTCCACAATATAAAACAGCACTACTTGTCAGAATTCAAGTCAAAATTTTGCTAGTCAGGCATTATAATGTTATCTTTTAAGGGTTCTATGGAATGTACAAAATCTCATAATGATAGACTTAAAAGAATAAAAATAGGACATTTTAAAAGAAAAATCAGTGAAACTACAGAAACATTTTCTACTTACAGTATTATGGACCGAACAATGAATTCTGTAGTTTTTTTCCAACAGCTGTTGCACTGCACTTGATCTATAGCATAAAGAAGTCATGTCACTATTATTCCTCAGAGATTATACATGATTTCCTTTCAGTTTAGATGAGATGAAATCTATGTTCCATGGGGTAAATTAAGGAATTTTAAAGGTGTTGAATATTTTAACTTATGAAGGAAACATTAATTATATTTTAAAAGTCCCGATAAACATCTCTTAAATTCTTAGAGAAGTTCTATACCCTCTACAAAACATCCTCTTTTTAAAAAAAAAACAAAAAACTCCAAACCCTCTAAAACTGACTCTCCTAAACTCCAAATTGGTATGTTAAATTTTTCCAAATTAATAAAATGGCACAAATCCTTCACAAGTGTGGAAGGGGTCTATCATCATTCCATTTTTCCAACAAAAAAACTAGGCAGTTGTATGGTCAGAGTTTTGGGGTTTTTTGATGTTTTGCCAAAAACTTCGATCTTCTAACTCCCAACTCTAGGAACTCTCTTCATTAAATTCTCTTGCCTCCCAAGTCAAAATTTTAAAAGGTGAAGTTTTTCTAGACATGGATAATCTTTATGGTGTAGGGTAGTTGTTCAGGAAAAGGACCAAATTCTACCATGATATCTGGAGCATTGGTCCTTTGTACATTACAAATTAGTAAAATACTTACTTAAATGCAGCAGAAAGAGTCTTGTTTTTCCTAACAAAGGTGATTCTTACGAGGCCATCCCATTCCTGAGATATAAAATGATATTTCCTTCAAAATGTAAACCTCTTGTCTATGCCTGCTATGTATTATTTTGTCATTTAATATATAGAAATGGAGGACCTTGAGTTCTGAAAATGTTCTACATCTTGATCTGGTAGGCACATATATTAATATATATGGCAAAAGTAAACAGCGTACATACATGATTTCTGCACTTTACTGTAGCTCACTGAATATATTTTTTTTCCTCAATTTTTTTTTTTTTTTTTTTTTTTGAGACAGAGTCTCACTTTGTTGCCTAGGCTAGAGTGAGTGCCGTGGCGTCAGCCTACCTCACAGCAACCTCAACTCCTGGGCTCAAGCGATCCTTCTGTCTCAGCCTCCAAGTAGCTGGACTACAGGCATGAGCCACCATGCCCGGCTAATTTTTTCTATATATATTAGTTGGCCAATTAGTTTCTTTCTATTTATAGTAGAGACGGGGTCTCGCTCTTGCTCAGGCTGGTTTCGAACTCCCGACCTCGAGCAATCCACCCGCCTCGGCCTCCGAGAGAGCTAGGATTACAGGCGTGAGCCACCGCGCCCGGCCTTTCCTCAATTTTTTTAAAAATTGGAAAAAATAAAGTCAGGCATGGTGGCACATGACTATAGTCCCAGCTACTCAGGAGGCTGAGGTGGGAGGATCACTTGAGCCTATGAGTTTGAGTCCAGCCTGGTAACAACAACAACAAAAAAAACAACAGGCCGGGTGCGGTGGCTCACGCCTGTAATCCTAGCACTCCGGAAGGCTGAGATGGGCAGATCGTTTGAGCTCAGGAGTTCAAGACCAGCTTGAGCAAGAGTGAGACCCCGTCTTGACTAAAAATAGAAAGAAATTAATTGGCCAACTAAAAATATATAGAAAAAATTAGCCGGGCATGGTGGCACATGCCTGTAGTCCCAGGCTGAGGCAGGAGGATCGCTTGAGCCCAGGAGTTTGAGGTTGCTGTGAGCGAGGCTGACGCCATGGCACTTTAGCTGGGGCAACAACAGTGAGACTCTGTCTCCAAAAAAAAAAAACCATGGCATTTATGTAGATGTAAGCATCATTTTCTAAAATAAGATTCAAAACAGGCATGATTTAGGAGATAGCCTGTGCAAGGCACCTAAACTTCCTTGAAGGAGTTATTGACAGACTACTCCACCTACTACCAGCTGACTACACAATCATGTTTTTCTCTAATGTGACTATAGAAAGGTTTTTCATCAAGTGGTCTGGCTTTCTTCTCTTTCTAAATCACAAAAAAAACAAGACTTCTGTTTAACAAGTCTTACCCACAATACTACTTTAAAACAACTATTTTCATTTTACCTTGTTTTCAAGTTTTATTCAAATAGAAACCTGTTTTTCACAGCTATAATCTTAAGTGAAATGTAACTGCATTCTAATCTTTTTGCCTTTTACAAACATTTCCATGCCTTTTAGTGGACTTCATAACTACTTTGTGTCAAATTATTCCATCTACTCCATCACAGGATGTATCATAATTAACATTTTCCTATATGTTTGGATATTTAGGTTGACTCAATATTTTTCTATTGCTATAGACACACATCTAGCTGGGACTTTTTCCCCTTTATTTAATGACCTACTATTTTAACCTCACCTGAAAATTGATGGGTGGTGGTGGATTCTTAGGTTCTATCCTTACAACACTGGATTCCACCTTGGGTGGTGGCCTAAAGTTATTCTTTCCAACCTGTTAATCAGAAAATATTTAAGTAGTACTCTGAAAGGCAACTTTTAGTTAGTAATCAAAGATGCTCTCCTCACAGAAAGCACAGCTAGATGCTCAAGGATAAATTAAGCTAGATTATTTCAATAACAAACATCACTTACTTTCATCAGATGGTCCACACGTGCTAATAACTGTGTGTTAATTGAGAGTCTGCAGTATAACTTATCTCCAGGTTTTGCAACCAGTCGGAGAGCAAATTCTCTTTGAAACATAAGGATAGCACATCTGAAAAGAAAGAAGAAAGGAAGGAAAATGGTCATTTTCAACTATAAATATAATTTAACTGCAATACATTTTCTTGGGAGAGAAATCAAGAGCAAAGCAATAATCAGCTAATTATAAGACAGAAGAATACTTTATTACCCCCAAATGAAGCAGCTGGCTTTGTCCCCTAACCTCAAGGAAGATGGCTTGAAAAGGTAGCCCTCAATGATCAGATGAGGAAGTATTTCAAATCAGCACTAGTCTATCACCCCTTCTATGAAAACAAAAATAAAACAAAATTGACTATGTAAGTAGTAGAATGAATATACTCGGTAAGTATATTCATGGGGTAGCAAACGTCTTTAAGGAAGAGGTAAAGCTGGAGAGGCAGACTGTGATGTTCAGGGTCCTCTAGATTTTTTTTTTGTTTTTACAGTCTCACTCTGTTGTCCAGGCTAGAGTGCAGTGGCACCATCACAGCTCACTGCAACCTCCAACTTCTGGGATCAAGTGATCCTCTTGCCTCAACCTCCCAGTAGCTAGGACTACACAATCTAACAGGTTAAAAGATGTGAAAGCTTTACCAGCAAGCAATGGGGAGGTTTTATGGATGCTAATGAACAAAAGATGAGCTACTTTAAAGTTGCACTTTGCTTTGACTTTCAAACTTTTTGACGATGAGTCACACCAAGAAATACATTTGACATTGCAACCCAGGCCACAGATATCTATATGTATATGTGTTTATATAGTGATATTTCAAAACAAAAGGTTCATAAAACTATAATCGCCTGGACCAAATGCAATGCCCTCTGACATATTCTATTCTATGTCATTGGGAAAAAAAACCAGGATGGTCATGACTCACTATATTGATTTTATTACCACTAAGGGGTTTCTGAGTTGCAGTTTAAAAGCCACTAGTATAGACTGTACAAGGGGACTTCAAAATGCTCATGGAAAAATGGAATTAAAAGATAAAAATAAAAAATGTAAAATTTATCTCTCAACATTAAGCTCCATCAAGGTCAGGACACTTTTATAAGCAATGATACCAGCCCTAAAAAACAGTCCATCCCTAAAAAACAGGGCCTTTTTTTAATTAACTGAAAAAATAGGTGCCTTTTAAAGACTTTTTAAGATTAGGGAACAAAAAGAAGTCAGGAGTCAAATCAGGACCATAAGATATATGCCTAACGATTTCCCACCAAAACTCTTGCAAAATTGCCCTTGTTTGATGAGAGGAAGGAGCAGGAGCACTGACTGTGGTAAAGGAATCTCTGGTAAAGCTTTCCTGGGCATTTTTCTGGTAGAGCTTTGACTAACTTTCAAAACATTCTCATAATAAGCAAATGCTATTATTCTTTGGTCCTCCAGAAAGTCAAAGAAAAATGCCTTGAGCATCCCAAAAAACTATTGCTATGACCTTTGTTCTTGACCAGTCCCCTTTTGCTTTGACTGGACCACTTCTTCCTCTTGGCAGCCATTGCTTTGATTGTACTTTGTCTTCAGGATCATACTGATAAAGCTATCAGTACTATTCATCTACTATTATAATTCTTTGAAAAAATGCTTATTTATTTCACTTGGTTAAAATTTCTATTGGAAGTTCTGCTTTTGAGCTGGGTGTAGTGTCTCACGCCTATAATCCCAGCTACTTGGGAGGCCGAGGCAAGAGGACTGCTTAAGGCCAGGAGTTTGAGACCAGCCTGAGCAACGCTGTGAGACCTTCATGTGTGCAAAAAAAAAAAAAAAAAACATTAGCTGAGCCTAGTGGCACATGCCTGAAGACCCAGGTGGTACTTAAAAGGCTGAGGTAGGAGGATCATTGAGCCCAAGAGTTTGAGGTTACAGTGAGCCCAGGATCATTGAGCCCAGGAGTTCGAGGTTACAGTGAGCCACTAGTGTACTCCAGCATGGGCAACAGTGTGAGACCTTATCTCGCTATATAAAAAGGAAAATAAAAAAAAGAAATCCATGTATTCTGTGCATAGTTTTTTCATAATATTCATTTTCAATGAACTTTGTGAAGACCCCATGTACTAGAGACTAGTTAGGAAGCCATTGCAATTGTCTAGACATAGGTAATAAAAAGTCTGACCTAGACTAATGGCAAGATTAAAAAATAGGGAAAGGCTGCCTGGTTTCCGAAACAGAACCTATACCCACCTCCCACAAATAACCTTTATCAATTGAAAAAGAGAAAAAAAGAAAAAGACCTCCATACAAATGAATATTTTCCACAACAATTCTCCAGTAGTTTTTCAATTGACTTTCATTTTCAGCTGTGTTCATGGCCTAAATCGTTAATCTTTTAAAAATTTGGCAGTAACTCCGGTCTTTTGTCACAAACCTGAAAAAAGGTCGGTGCAGCAACAACTTGAAGACAAAAGGAGAAGAGATCTGTAAGAGAATTAACTAGTTATTTCTGGGAGAGACACACCAGAGAAAAACTTAGTCTGATGTTCCTGACAATTTGAGGACATACCTGATAAGGCAAATTTGCCACACAAGCATCAAAGAATGGCAACTCTGTTTTCAACACATCACCCACCATTACTTGAAGTTTGCTGGCCAGAGGCCTGATAAAAAAAAAAAAAGAAGAAGAAATTTAAAAAGAATGTTGTTTCATAAAACTGAAATGCACTTTAATTCTATTATGTATACTCACGTGCCCTGAACTCTTTTGTGTAGTTCTGCTACTAGCCTTGGGTCAAGTTCACAGGCAACCACCTAAAAATTTTTTTAAAAGTTTCTTTAGGTTAATTACAGAGTATAAATCTTTTCTTATTATCCCTATAGTAATTCTTACATGATTTAAATTTCTTTTCCCAAGTCTATCATCAATATTCAATATTCTTTTTTTTTTTTTTTAGCAACTCTACAAGTCTTGGGGAATAGTCTTTCAATTATATTCCCCCACTTTAAACAACAAAAACATCACTCAAAAAAGTAGATGACCAGGCAGGGCGTGGTGGCTCACGCCTGTAATCCTAGCACTTTGGGAGGCCGAGGCAGGCGGATTACTCAAGGTCAGGAGTTCGAAACCAGCGTGAGCGAGACCCTGTCTCTACCAAAAATAGAAATAAATTAATTGACCAACTAAAAATATATATATACAAAAAAAATTAGCCGGGCATGGTGGCCCATGCCTGTAGTCCCAGCTATTCGGGAGGCTGAGGCAGTAGGATCGCTGAGCCCTGGAGATTGAGGTTGCTGTGAGCCAGGCTGACGCCACGGCACTCACTCTAGCCTGGGCAACAAAGTGAGACTCTGTCTCAAAAAAAAAAAAAAAAAAAAAAAAAGATGACCAGATTACATGAGTTCTACCCAAATATTCAACAGAATTACCATGTCTGTCTCCATGCTTTGTAATTTAACAGATGATGAAAAAAATACATAATATGTCTGTGTAGTCAGTGTTCTTGGGCAGGAGCATACAATGCAACTGCTGTTAGAATGAACATATCACTTCTCTCATCTACTGGGATCCAGAATACATAACAAACATAAATTCTCAAGTAAATGAAAACACACTGGATAAGGTTGAAATAAGGCTGAAATTGTAATTTTACTGCAAATTCAGGTAAGGTTTATCTGAATTCCAAGAAGACTACATCTACAAGGTAGATGAATGTGCTGCTTATTCTGTTTAGCTCTCAAATCCACTCTCTACCTTTCTCTGTGTCCCATAGGTAATGCAGTCCAGCTCCCTTACCCTTTTACTTCTGTTGAGACCGGCCAATAAAAGGCACAAGAGGAAGAGCTGGCTATTTATTTCCTAATTCCTGCCTCACGCTTTGCGGAAGTATTGGCAGTAGCAGTATTCTGCTATGAGTGGCTCCTCTTCCATGACTCGTCCTCTCACTGGGCTCCAGTAACAGTTTCCTGCCCTTTTCACTGAGGCCTTTGGATGGTAACTGCCCCCTGCTGTGGCTAGTCACTGGTTTCACTAATGCTTACTGGTTCCCTTAACCCCATTCCCACATGTCAGTAACAGTCTCTTCATTAAATTCTCTTTAGATAAGCTCTTTCAAATGTGCTGCTTGCTTCCACTAGGACACAACAATGATTCCATATAACTGGAAGCTGGGTCACCCAAGACACAAAGAAGATACCAGCAACATTCAGGTGGTACCCAATCTCAGAGACCTGAGCTCTAGCTCTGCAGGTCTCTTCCTCCAAAGTTCTGGATTTCAATAATTCCAACCTCTTTGTTTTGCTCCCAAAGGCCTAGAGGTGGTAGCTGCTCTTTGCAATTATTATTGTGGGGTTATTTCAATGTCCCCATGTTTTTCTTTAGTCCTCTAACAAACATATAACCAATTCCCTACATTAAATTCACTGTTGAAATATCTAATGTGGTTTCTGTTTTCCTAACTGCAATATGTTTTCTAAAATAAAATTTCTAGCAAGGGATTAAGAGTTACTATTAAAATAATAGCAATTAATTAAATCAGATTTACATTTGCAAACCAGCTGAGCTTGCTCACATAGTCATTTCTGATACCAAAACATTAAACTATCTTTTTACCTTTTTTGCCTTTTCTAACAACTTTACAGTCATGTTGCCAGTTCCAGGTCCAACTTCCAGCACCACATCAGTTGGTCTTAAGGCAGCCTAAAAAACAAGCACAATCACTTTACCTCTTCTGGCACATCTGAACACATAATTTAATTTACACCTAAATATCTTTGCTTGGAAGTATTCGGTTAAGAGATCTTACTCCAACTCCATTTTTAGATTTCTTCATGATCTATGTGGTGAACAAAGTTACCTCAATAACATTAGGTACAAATGAAAATCTAAGACCTCTCCTAACTTGTGGGAATACTCAAAACTTCAGGAGTCACAAAAGTGGGAATAGCAACTCTTCCTGGAATTGGCATTCTGCTTTCTTCCTTGGAAATGATTCCAATTGCTACTTGTTACCAACTCTGTTCATATCAACAAGTTTGAATGGGAAAGGGCAGTACATGTTGGGCAGAGTTTCTCAATGTTCAACTCATGTCTGGTTTCTGGGATGCAGGAGTGTGAGAAACAGTACACAAAACTGGTTGTATGCAAACAGCTGTAATACTCTAGCTCCACAGTTTTCATCAGATGCTCAAAGGAATCTGTAAGCTACAAAGGTTAAAAAATTAGGCCAACCCTCATTTTGCAAATGTCACTAAGTCTGATAATATCCTTTAATGCTCTTTCTACAGCTCCAGCATGCTTCCCTTGCTTGTAACCATCACCTCCTAGCACCCCAACTATCCATAACAATAACAGAACCGCAATAAAGCAGATAAAAGGAATACTCCAAATAATTTATGTGACAAATTTATTAAGACAAAGAATTTGGGGTCAGGAGAAACCCAGACGCACAGAATGAATCTTATCACGCACAAGACAGCCTACGAATCCCAGACAATCTTTCGATGTTGTCAACAAACATTTGTAAAGTATCTATTTTAGGCCAGGCATCCTCTCTGCATTTAAGTATTCCCAAGAATAAAATTAATAAGCCAACAACTCTCTCCCTTTCCTCTTCCACACCCACCTTTTCAATAATGCTGTTAACAATGAGAGGATTTTTCAAAATGTGCTGCCCAATCCCCGTGTTGAACATGAGTCCTGGAAGAAAATACGGAAGAACTTTAATTTCTGTGCTGAGATACTAGACCGTTCCAGAAAAGAAAGCAGGATGGGTAGGGGTTAGAGTTCTGCGCCAACGGGGGCCACTAAGCGTCAAGCTCCGGGCCGGGGCTAGCAAATGCCTGAAGTCCATCCCTGCCGCTGGAAAAGGTAGCCGGGCGGAGCGCAGGGTCCGCGGCCCGCGCTCTGGGAACCCCGGACTCACGCGCCCACGGGAGCGCGGGGCCCGACCAGCCTCAAGCAGCGGCTCAGACCTCGGTCAGGACCCTAAGGTTGGTCCTGCGGAAGGCCGGACCCGACCCCCACTTCCTCCCGGGCTCCGCACCTCCGGCGCTCTTCAGCTCCCCGCGCTGTTCCTGCCGCTGGCGGCGGCGGCCGATCGCCCCCGACTTGACCTTCGGCATCTCTGCAAGAAGCCGGCCCACAGGTCCAGGAAGTCACGCAGGACCAAAACAGGGGCTAGCTGGAGAAACCCACCACGTGGGAATCGCCTCCCTAGCCGCCCGCACCACTCCCACCTCTCCCACCACTGCCGGACGCGTGGGGAGCCGTCCCGAATGCTTTGGGCTCCTCCCCCAGAAGGCGGGCGGACCTTGCAGCCTAGTGCCTGCCGGGAATTGTAGTCTCCAGAGGAAGCAAAGCCTAACCTGGGGAGCCTACATATCCCAGAAGGCACCGCGCTGCCGATGTGGACAGTTTGGAAGTTTGCATTGGCTGATTTAGGGCGGGGTCTTTCGCCCTTGTCCGCTTGGAGTTTGTTAACGAGAGGGGTTGGTGTGTCACTCTCGGCGTTGAGAAGGATTTTTAGGTTATGTCATGGGATTAAGCCTGTGGATGCTCTGTAAGGCCAGGTTCTGAGATCTCCTCACGTGCCTGCTCCTGCTTTCCCGAGATAGTGGGGTGGGAAAGCCAGGATTTGGGGATGAGGAGCTTACTCCTCTGGGGAATGTATTATCCCCGCTGCTTGCTCTGGGGAAAAGAATTCCGAGAATGGAATTAGCCTCTTTTTAGACTAGGACTGCCGGTTGCTTTACTTCCTCCGCATTGCCTCCCTAAACATTTATTGAGCTCCAGCTATGTATTAGACCCTGCTAAGTAAGAAACTACCCTCAAAAGTATTCCATTGAGAAAGACTGACAAAAAATCCAAAATATGATAACAGGTATGTATTGGGTATTCTTCTGGGATAATGTGCAAGCAAGGTCCACATCTTTTTTGTTTTGCCTGGCAGTGTAATGGCTCTCGGTTTTTAATTTTTCTGTCTATTTCGTTGAAGAAACAGCTTCTTCCTGGCATTACTAAAGCTGACTTTTTGCCGAGCAAATGTTTACACTCCGAAACCTTGGTCTTAGCCCCTCCTTTCTCTGCTGTAATTCTAACTCAGAAAAAAATGCCACATACCCTAGTAGCATCTTCAAAATTGGAGAGCCACACGCAGAAGAATGAAACCGGATCCCTATCTCTCACCATATATAAAAATTAACTCAAGATGGATTAAAAACTTAAATGTAAGACCTGTCACCATAAAAACTCTAGAAGGAAACTTAGGAAAAACTCTTCTGGACATTGGCGTAGGCAAAGAATTTATGACTAAGATCCCCAAAGCAAATACAACAAAAATAAAAATAAATAAATGGGACTTAAACTAAAGTTTCCTCACAGCAAACGTAATAACCAACAGAGTATACAGACAACCTACAGAATGGGAGAAAATATTCACAAAGTATACGTCTGATAAAGGACTAGTATCCACAATCTTATAAGGAATTCAAACAAATCAGCAATACAAAAACAACCCTATTAAAAACCTGGAAAAAGACATGAACAGACATTTCTAAAAAGAAGATACACAAATGGCCAAAAAACATGAAAAAAATGCTCAGCATCACTAATTATCAGGGAAATGAAAATTAAAACCATGATTAGATGGCACCTTTCCCCTGTCAGAATGGCCATTGTTAAAGAGTCATAAAACAATAGATGTTGGTGTGAATGCCATGAAAAGGGAACACTTATACACTGTTGGTGGTAATGTAAATTAGTGCAATCTATATGGAAAAGAGTATGGAGATTTCTCGAGGAACTAAAGTAGAACTACCATAGGATCCAGCAATTCCCCTTCTGGTTATCTACCCAAAGGAAAAGAAATCAATATATAAAAAAGATATCTGCACTCATATGTTTATCACAGCATTATTCACTGTTTATCACAGCAATTACTCACAATAGCAAAGGTTTATGGAATCAACCTAAGGTATGGAATCAACCAATGTCTAGAAAAGTTTTTTTGTCTAGCTTTGTAATTATAGAAATAATTTTTATGGTCATGTTTCTATCCTTTGTTAATTAAAATTATTTTTCAATTTGAGTGTACACGCTTAACTCATTGCCATTGGTTTTTTGTTTTGTTTTGTTTTGTTTTTTGAGACAGAGTCTCACTTTGTTGCCCAGGCTAGAGTGAGTGCCATGGCGTCAGCCTGGCTCACAGCAACCTCAATCTCCGGGGCTCAGCGATCCTACTGCCTCAGCCTCCCGAGTAGCTGGGACTACAGGCATGCACCACCATGCCCGGCTAATTTTTTGTATATATATTTAATTGGTCAATTAATTTATTTCTATTTTTGGTAGAGACGGGGTCTTGCTCAGGCTGGTTTCGAACTCCTGACTTTGAGCAATCCGCCCGCCTCGGCCTCCCAAAGTGCTAGGATTACAGGCGTGAGCCACCACGCCCGGCCTGCCATTGGTTTTTGTGTTGTTAATGAAATATAACTTGAAAAAGAATTATAATAGCATATGCTTTGATAGAAGAGGCTTACATAAATTCACAGCATGCTTAAAATTATAACATTTTAAATGTGCCAGTGAATATAATAAAGAAGAATAAAACACTGTAAGCATTTTCTTCCATAAAATATGATTCCTTACAGAATTTTAATATATTCAAAAGTCATAGAAACATTAAGAGTGTTTGAATTTCACACTTTTAATGTAGAATCATTAACATTTACATATTGTGTTCCTATAAAAAAGGGATATAATTCAGCTAGACAAAATAAAACAAAATTATGTGTACCCAAACAAGGAAACATTATTGTGACAACAACCAAATCTCAATGCTAAAGGTAAGTGCTGCCTTACAAAGCAGGACAATTTCAAAGAGTACCTAGAGATTTCATTTTATGATGCTTTCTAAATGTTAGAAAATTGTGATGAAATTTGGCTGGAATAATGTACTTTGAATACTCTGAGCAAGATTCTTCTATAAACATGTTCTAATTTTTTTAGATCATCATAACTTAAATTAATAAAATTAATTAATGAAGATTATGGTATCTGTTTATACTCAGCAGGAATCTAACCATTGTCAGTGAATATTTAATGATAATCAATACCACCCAAAAGCATTTGTCAGGTAAATGTTTGCATATCATTATCATTGTTAAGAGTCATTGTTTCTAATAATGACTAAGGCACAGTAAAATTTTTAAAAGTTTCTTTGAGCAAACAGTAATTCATGAATAGGTTTGGGACTCTGGTAAAGGAGTTGGGGAAAGCTTTTATAGGGTGAATGTGGAAGAAAGGCAAAGAAGATATTTGTTTGGTTGAAGTGGAACAGTAGCCTTATTTGGATCATTTCAGTGGAAAGTCCCCAGTTAGGGGTTAGTTGGTGATATCTGATTGGTTAAGTTCAAGTTTCATTTTACCATTTATACTGAGTTGGGTTTGGGTTTGCTTATGTAGGAACTCAGGGTACTGGAGCAGCCTCAATCTAATGGTCTCCCAATTAGATTTTTTTTTTTTTGGAGACAGAGTCTCACTCTGTTGCCCAGACTAGAGTGCCATGGCATCAGCCTAGCTCACAGCAACCTCAAACTCCAAAGCCCAATCCTTCTGCCTCAGCTTCCCGAGTAACTGGGACTACAGGCATGCGCCACCATGTCTGGCTAATTTTTTCTATATAATTTCTTTCTATTTTTTGGTAGAGATGGGGGTCTCACTTTTGCTTAGGCTAGTTTCAAACTCCTGACCTTGAGCGATCCACCTGCCTTGGCCTCCCAGACTGCTAGGATTACAGGCATACCTCACCTGGCCTCCCAATTAGATTTTAACACTGTAAAATAATGTATATCTTGTTGCAAAATAAAGCTTTTTGAGGCTTTCCTAATACAACAAAAACAAATCATTATGGCACTTAGAATTCTATTTGTGAGTTATAATAGAGTCTATTTTTATATTGTATATTTATGCATATTTGTATATATTTATATACTCTATATTTTATATTACATTTTATGATTTTCAAAGTGCTTTCCACACAATTTGATTTCCAATGAAACCCTGTGAAGTTGTTAGGGCAAGTATGATTATCCTGTTTTACAAATGAGAAAATTGAATCTCAGAGACATTGGTGATTTTTGCTGAAGGTCCTATGGTAGTAGGTAACAGAGATGGGGGGTGAAAACCAGTACGCACAACAGGACACCAGCCTGCCTCCTGTTGGTTTCTATTTCCATCTGAATGTTGGCATCACAGTCAATTGCCCTCTTTGGTTGATAGGCAGGAAAGAAAAAGATACTAGCTGAGTCATTCTAACTACATTTTTTTTTTGAGACACAGTCTTGCTCTGTCACCCTGGGTAGGGTGCAGTGGCATCATCATAGCTTACTGTAACCGCAAACTTATAGGTGCACAAGTGATCCTCTTGCCTCAGTCTCCCAAGTAGCTGGGACTACAGGGTGAGTGCCACACGTCCAGCTAATTTTTCTATTTTTAGTAGAGATGGGGGGGGGTCTCCCTCTTGCTCAGGCTGGTCTCAAACTCCTGAGCTCAAGCAATCATCCTGTCTCTCATCCTCTGAAAGTGCTAGGATAACAGGCATGGGGCATGAGGCCAATGCACCTGGCCTCTAACTACTGTTTAAATCAATTTTACTTTTAATGACACTCTAATGTAAAATTCAGTGGATTCTAAAGTATACAGTTAAAAAATTAAACCTTTGATTACCATGAATTTAAGAATAAGATATGTCCAAAGTAATAATGACAGAGATGTAGTAAGTAAAGCTAATTTAATTTTTTTCCCCTTCTGTTGGCTTCATGGGTCCTAAAGATAGGACAGGTACATTGAAAACCAAAAAACAAAACCAAATAAAAAACTTAATTTGTAAAAATCCTGCCAAATACAGAAAGCAGGAAGAAGGTGAAAAAGTTACTTAGAATGTCAATATGCTGGGATAGCTTCTATGAACATTTGGACACACACGATTTTCTCTTATTGTTTTAGTAACATATGCTTTTACATAGTTGAGTTCATACTGTTTATACAATTTGTTCTTTCCCCCATAAAGTACAGTAAAATAAAAAGCACTTTTTCAAGTTATTAAACACACTTGATAATCAGTATTGAAGCTGCTGTGGAAACTTTCATCTTGTGAATGCATAAAAGTTTACTAAATCATTCTTACACCATTGTTCTTATAAAAAATAGAGCCACACACATTTTAGTGCATACATGAAAAATATTTTCTATACTTTTAATGTTAAATATAAACCTACATCACAATTTTTAACAGGTGGATATATTGCACTGTATGAACATATCATAATTTATATCATCAATCCTTACTGAAACACATTTATATTGTTTCCAGGTTTTTTGCTTTTGTTTTTGTTTTTGTTTTGAGACAGAGTCTCACTTTGTTGCCTGGGCTATCCAGGGTTTTTTTTTATTATTAAAAACAATGAATCTACTAGGAATTTTACTACCTAGGGAACATCAAATCATTTCTCGAAGACTCATTTTTCTGAATGGTATGTTAAAACATCTGAGTTAATTTAAAAACATCTAATGAGCTATATTATACTATAGAGTTGCCCAAGACCCAATTTTACACAAGTTGAAATAATAAATGAAGTATACCAAATTGGAAAACTTATGACTTTGGAGCATATATCGATTTTTTGTTACTGTTCTAACAAATTAGCACAAATTTAGTAGCGTAAAACAATATGCATTTATTATATTAAAATTCTAAAGGTTAGAAGTCATAAATTCTCTGCAGCACTGACTTTCTTCCAGAGGCTGTATGAGAGAATTCGTTTTCTTGACTTTTCCAGCTTGTATAGGCTGTCTGCATTTTTTGGTTCATGGTCCCAGCATCCCTCTGACTTTTTACTTTCACATTTTCTTCTCTCACTGTGGCCTCCTCATAAAGACCACAGTGATAACATTGGGACTACACTGCAAGATAATCCAGAATAATCTTCCCATATCAAGATCCTTAATTTAATCCCCTTTGCCATATAAAGTAATATATACCCAGGTTTGGGGGGGTTAGGACATGGACATCTTTTATTCTGTTATATCTACCACAAAACATTTATCTACATTTGAGTCTGTGCTCCTCCGTTTAAGAATTTGACTTTGGACAAATGACAATTCCTATGAGAATCATCTTCTTATCTGTAAAATGAGGAAAAGAATGCTGTCCACATAGGGTGGTGATGAGGATTAATAAATTATATAAAATGTCTCAAGGCCAATACCAGACACTTAAGAAACCACTTAGAACAGTAGCTGACACATAGGGAATATTTAGTAGAAGTTAGTTATAATAATATAATTATTGACGCAAAATGAGTTGGATAGTTACTGTGTTGATTTGTTTTCTTGGAACTTACTTAAGACTGACAAGTGAGGAAGCCAATGTTGCTTTAACTTAGCATTTTCTGTGAAAGGGAAATTTGTATTAAGATTTCAGATGTATCTTGAGTAGACCCAATGATGATTTAATTTAAATGAATTTAAATATTTGTTTGCCTTTCTCTCCAAAAAAACCCCTCAGAATATAGCAATGAAATGCAGTAATATGAGATTATTTATCTAGCTGTACATACTTACTTTGTGAATAGCGTGTGACTAGATTCTACACTGATAGTAGCTGAAGCTAGGACCTACAAAGGCATCTTAATTTGGGATACTGGTATCGCAGGCAAAATTTGTATATATGCATTTTTCTAAGTCACAGCTCTCTTTAGATTTCCAAAGGATCTATTATCCCAAATAGAAGAGATCTATTCTTCTACACCAATTTCTTCTTTTTATTTTGAATTAGGTAATTTTTTTTTTTTGCTTTATTACCTATTCCTTATAGCCTTATTACTCAACATGTCATTTATGGCCCAGCAGCATTGGTATCACCTGTAAACTCATTAAAAATGAAGACTCTTGGGCCCCACCTCAGACCAAATGAATCAGAACCTGTATTTTTTTTTTTTTTTTTTTTTTTTTTTGAGACAGAGTCTCACTTGTTGCCCAGGCTAGAGTGAGTGCCGTGGCGTCAGCCTAGCTCACAGCAACCTCAAACTCCTGGGCTTGAGTGATCCTCCTGCCTCAGCCTCCCGAGTAGCTGGGACTACAGGCATGCGCCACCATGCCCAGCTAATTTTTTTTTTTTTATATATATACCAGTTGGCCAATTAATTTCTTTCTATTTATAGTAGAGACGGGGTCTCGCTCTTGCTCAGGCTGGTTTTGAACTCCTGACCTTGAGCAATCCGCCTGCCTCGGCCTCCCAAGAGCTAGGATTACAGGCGTGAGCCACAGCGCCCGGCCAGAACCTGTATTTTAACAAGGACCTTATGTGATTCTATGCACACTTAAAATTGAAATTTGAGAGGTACTATTTTTCAATAAGATCAGAAGATACAGTTAAGTTAAAAAAAAAAAAAAAACAAAGCATGGTCACAATACCGTCCAACTACTGACAAACTCTCTTAGTATTTTGGCATTTATTTCCAAAAGTGGGACATATTGCTGAAAATGTTGCTTTGTAACCCTGTTTTTTTCAGAATGCATTGTGAATGTATTCATATGTCAACAAATACATTTCATAATTGTAAGTGGCCAATTTGTATTTTATTAGACAGGGCTATATTATGATTTAATCATTCCTCTCTAGTGGTCACTTAGGTAATTTTTATCTTTTTACTTTCAAAAACAGCCCTTGTGTGATGAACTTCCTTGTAATGCAGAACTTACTATTGCTTGGTTCAAATTCTAACACTGTCATTTACTAGCTGTTTAACCTTAGGCAGGTTACTTGACTTTTTTTGTGCTTCAGTTTCTTCATCTGTAAAGTGGAAACAAGGAAAGCAGCTACCTCATAGGATTGTTCCGAGGATTAAAATAGATGATTCCTGTAAATATCTTACAACTGTATCTGACATATTCCAAATGAGAAATGAATATTTTCTAACTATTAATCTTTAAGAAAAACTCAGCTGTTTCCTTACAAATTCTCTCTGTAAACGTAAGAAAATTTAGGTCACTATGGTAGTTTTTAGCAGCGCCAGGCATAACTGCATTTATGTCCTTTTAAATCTTTCCACCCTTGCTACTGCTGGGGAGTAAGTGCCCAGAAAGTTCAGGAACTTAAAAAATAAATTTTCGTGGCGGGAGGTGGGGAGGGTTAACTTATGGGAATAAAATTCTTTCAATACCTCTTCTCTGCTGTGACGGACCAGTAAAACATTCAGTTTAGCAGCTGATATCTACAATAAGGACTTATGGTTTCCATGGTTACAGATCCCGCTAGTTCGGGCTCACTGCTCCACATACTGCGCAAGCGCACACAGCTGATTTGGACACACGGCGCCTTTGGGTTCGAAGAGGAAGCCCCTCCTCCCCTTCCCGGGGTTCGCCTATCACCTTCTCCCTTTGCCTATCCTAGGCGCTCTGGGTGTCTGTTACGCAGTATTCGCGCGTCCGCGTCGTTCGGAGGCGCGACGCTAAACATGGCGCGTTCCTAGAAGCCGCTTTCGGCATCAGTAGGCGGCGGCGTGTGGACTGGCAGCGTGGGGCGCGGGACCAACCGACGCCACTTCGTATTGGGAAGTGGGAGCAGGAGGGCCGGGCAATTCTGGACCGAACCAAACGGTGAGGCCCCGGCCCGAGAGCCAGAGAGCGCGTGCAAGTTACGGGAGGAGTAGGTTGGTCAGCCGGGACCCCCAGAGGCGAGGGAGGAACGTGGGGCTACCGGGAGACGAAGGATAGCGGTAGCGAGGCAAGGGCGGCCTGCAGGCTTGGCTCTCTGCGTAGCCTTAGGAACCCGTGGGAGCTGGGGGCTCGCGGAGTTAGCCTGGCAGCGGGAAGCATGGTCGCGGAGGAATCAGGGTGCAGGGTGGCAGGGACTGTGCCAGGCTGAGCAGATTGAGGGTAGCCACTGTGGCTGCGGTTGCGGGGCCAGGGTGGTGCATTTGCCCTTGGGGGATAAATGCTGCAAATTTTGAGAGAACACGGCTATGTTTAGTATAAAACCATTGTGTGTAATTGCACACACGATCTTGCTGCTAATGGCAATACTATGAAAGCTTGAAACGTTAGACCCTTCCTTGCCTTTAGTAAAAAAGTGAAAGAAATTCCATCCATTTTTAGAGAAGAGCTTCATGCTGAGGTATGGCCGCCAATGCTCAAGCTCAGCGACTTCTGTAGCTTTATATTTGGGGGTATTTGTGATTCAGCAAAACTATTTTGAAGCCGATTGCATTTGTCATTTTTATATATTCTTTTGTGACATGGTGGTGAGTGAGAGCATTACTCTTAGAGTGATTTGGCTAAATAGAAAGGACTGGTAAATTGCCTACTGATGCCAATGTTGCAATTGACACACCTCCACCCCACCACAATTTAAATGATTTCAATGATAGTGTGGTCGTGTCCTTGATATATGGTTATTCTTTAGAAGGTTGTAAACGAGAAGTTTGTAACCATAAAGTTCCCCCACTCCTCTTAGATAGGAATTTCCCTCCTTCGTTTTTTTTTTTTTTTTTTTTTGAGACAGAGTCTCGCTTTGTTGTCCAGGCTAGAGTGAGTGCCGTGGCGTCAGCCTAGCTCACAGCAACCTCAAACTCCTGGGCTCGAGTGATCCTTCTGCCTCAGCCTCCCGAGTAGCTGGGACTACAGGCATGCGCCACCATGCCCGGCTAATTTTTTCTATATATATCAGTTGGCCAATTAATTTCTTTCTATTTATAGTACAGACGGGGTCTCGCTCTTGCTCAGGCTGGTTTTGAACTCCTGACCTTGAGCAATCCGCCCGCCTAGGCCTCCCAAGAGCTAGGATTACAGGCGTGAGCCACAGCGCCCGGCCCCTCCTTCGTTTTTATATTGTTTCAGATTTCTCTGTTTAGTACAGAGGCTTCAGGGTAAGGGCAGGGTAACTTTACTATGTAAGATCCATTGCATGACACCCTGACACATTTTCTTACCTCTTTTGTCAATGAGGAAGATTTCAGTGAAATTAGAAAGAAAATTTTTCCCTATTGGTTGTGATAGGATTGTGGAATTTTTTTTCTGGGGGAACCTAGCACAGGGAATAGGAAAAAACAATTTAATTGCAGCAATTTTGTGGCCATGTATTATAGCTCTAGGGCAGGAGGGCTGTCTTAGTCCTTTGGCTTCCTAAAGCCAAAGGGAATACCCACCACAAATGAATTTGGTTGTGGTAATATGATTAGAGGTTCTAAACAAATATGTAAAGATTATTTGATAGTCAGTAAAAAGATCTTTAGAGTTTGTTATATGTTATAAATGTATTTATATTCGGAATCAAACCAGAATGCAGATAATCCCTGTAGGCATGTGGCAGTTAAAATATGCTGAGTTGAGTTGTTCTAAGATGACTAAAAAAAACCCAAAAAACAAAATGTTGGAGATAATACCAGAAATAATTATATATTTTTCTAGAAATAAAAATATTCATGTTTTTGGGTAAGGTAATATGTTTGCTTAGTTGGATTTTGACCTTTGTGTTGTGTGTATATACATATGTGTGTGTTTTTATTTAAATCTACCTTATAGTTTAGTGTTACTAGTGGTAATATTCATCCCTTTCATTAACCATCTGCTTCAAATGGGGACTCTCAGTTAATTTCAAAGCAGTTTAGGGAATAGCAAGACACAGTCAGTGCAGGTGTGAGTCTAGAGTGTTTTGTTTGGTTTTCTAAATATCTGGCTGATTACAGATAAGCCAACAATTATAAGCTTAGTAGAACTTAAGTTGGATCAGTGTTCTACATACATCCTTGCTACTGAAAATGTGTTATTTGTCATCAGCTGGAAGTTTTTTAGAAATGCACAATCTCAGGCTCAGCTCTAGAGCTACTGAGTCAGAATTTGCATTTTAACAAGATATTTAGATGACAGGAAGGTTTGTTTAAGGTTGAGATGTACTAGTTTGGTCAGTAAAAGTTGAAAAAGACCAAGGTCATTCACAACCTTGCATAAAATTATAGCATCATTTATTTTTTTTTTTCTTTTAAGGAGCATTTTAGCATGTGAACATCATTTATTTTAATATAAGGTAATCTTATGCTCATAGTCGAGTCTGATTTATCTGGTTGAAGAAACTGAGGGTCTGAAATGGTAAGAGGCTAATATAAGGTCACACATGTCTAGATTCATAACTCAGGCTCTGACTCATTCCAATGCTTTTCTTTTGCTGGTCGCTGCCAGAGTTCATTATATGGACAATGGACTAACATTCATGAATGACTAGGTATTCATTCACCAACAAATGTTTATTGGGTACTGGATAGGTAGCCAAATAATCCTATGTGTCCCTAGTAACTGCTCCTGTTATTCACGGTGTCTGTTAACCTACCTTGTTTCCCCGAAAATAAGACAGGATCTTATATTTTTTTTTCCTGAAGAAGACATACTAGGGCTTATTTTCAGGGGATGTGTTATTTTCCCCTCAAAGCCTCAGCTTGCAGCATGTGCAGGATGGCTGGGACCTGACGGGGAGCCAACCTTGTTGGTGGGGCTGCCCGCACCTTTCCGGTCACCTCTGGGATAGTAGCTGTCACAATGGGGCAGATGAGAAGGGCTGCTTGACTTCTTTACTGCTCCGAGACGAAATGCATGGGTTGTGCAGATACCTTGTGTAGCCAGGCCCATCACTAGGTGTTATTTTTGGGGTAGGGCTTATATTCCGCAAATGTTTAGAAATCCTGCTAGGGTTTATTTTATTGGTAGGTCTTATTTTCAGGGAAACACGGTACCATCTTTGCTTCTCACTCTTTGCCAAATAATGTTTTCTTCTGCTTCACAGAAGAAATGAAATACACTGGGTGGGAACTTCATTGCTTCCTGTTATCCTTTAGCTGCAAACATGCATGCCTCTATCTATCCATCTCTAATTGTGTTCTATGTGTTTTCTCCTTAGAGGCAATATTTCCTTCATGTGTTTGCTAGGGCTGCCATAACAAAATACCACAGAGTGGGTGGCTTAAGCAACAGAAATTTATGTTCTCACAGTTCTGGAGGCTGGAAGTCCAAGATCAAGGTGCAAATAAGGTTGGTTTTTTGTGAGGCCTCCATCCTTGGCTTGCAAATGGCCGTCTTCTTGCTGCCACTTCACATGGTCATCCATTTGTGTTCATGCACCTCAGTGTCTCTTCTTGTAAGGATATCAGTAATGTCAGATTAGGGCATCACACCAATGGTCTCTTTTTATTTTAACTCTTTAAAAACCTTATCTCCAAATACTGAGGGTCCTGGGATTAGGGCTTCAACATACGAATTTTGGGAGAACACAATTTAGTCCATAACACTTAGTTATCCCTCTTTCAACTGGCACTAGCTTATCAGGATTTAAGCACATATAAATCTTTTATCTTAAATACACTTTCCTCACCCTAGATTCCTCTTCAGCTTCATCTATAACTACATCCCTTAAATTTCTCTTCTTTTTTTTTTTTTTTTTTTAGAGATGGAGTCTCACTATGTTGTCCAGATGGCCTTGAACTTTTGGGCTCAAGTGATCCTTTTGCCTTGTCAGTAGCTGGGGCTATGGGCATGTGCCACCACTCCGGGTTTATTTCCCTTAAGTTTCTTGGAAAAGTTGTCTATGTTCATTTTTCTCTACCTCCTTATTACTTATTCTTTTTTCAGTATTTTGAAGTCTATCAATCCATTGTAGTACCTGTATTTGATGGGGTGGTGGTCACCATTGATGCCTTTGTTGCCTCGTCTAATGGAATCTTTTTAGTCATTTGCCACTTTGACTACTTGTTCCTCTGTGATGTTTTCTTCTTATGCTTCTGGGATACCAAGTTCTCCTTACTTCCCTCCTACATCTTGGCCAGTCTCAGTTTATCTTTCTCTTACCACTTTAGATGTTTGTTTCACTCTGGGGTATTATCTCTTGCTCTCTTTTGCCTTTTTCTACTGTCTTTGAAGGGTCTTGTCCTTGGTGACTTCAACCACTCTATTTTGATGACTTCCAAATCTGTCTTTAGCACAAATTACTCTTCAATTCTGATGTGTGTAGTTGTCTTAAGATACTTTAAACTCATGTCAAAAAATAATATATCTCATCTTTCCTCAAGTTCTTTTCCTCCTCTGAGCAGTACATGTACAAATCAGTTGGAAAAGCACAAAGATTTATTCAACATTTGTTTATTCATCACTTTCATATGTGCCAGGTACTATTCTGGATTCTAGGATACAAAGATATCTCTTGTCTCTTATGACCTTAGGCACTACTCTCCCCTGCAACTATCTATTTACCTAATATTATTTTACCTCTTTGATCTACTTCTTTTTCTGTGCTGCTACTTCATTGGTTCAGATTATCACTTATTTTCTGGACTTTTGTGTAAACCTTCTAAATGATTGCT